CAACGTCTGCCCGGCGAGAACAATGTGGGTTCACTTTTGTAGATGATGTCATCGGAGGGGCTAAGTTGTATTTCTTGAATCATTTCAGTGCGGCATGGTAGCTTGGCGCATTGTCCTGGCCACTCCCGAATATCCAAATGGCCGTGAGATCATTGTGATAGCAAACGACCTTACCTACCTGATAGGTTCCTTCGGCATCAAGGAGGACGTGCTGTTCGCCAAGGCCTCCCAGTTGGCCCGTCAACGCAAAGTGCCCAGGGTAAGTTGGGCCTAGGTGCAAAGCTCTTCTCTTATTTTATACCATTCCTATTATTATCTTCCAGATTTACATCTCCGTCAACAGCGGTGCCCGCATCGGACTCGCCGAGGAGGTGAAGGCGATGTTTAAGATCGCATGGGAGGATCCAGAGGAACCGGACAAGGGCTTCAAGTACCTTTATTTGACCACCGAGGACTACGCCCAGGTGGCCAACCTGAACTCGGTGAGGGCCATCCTTATCGAGGACGAGGGCGAGCAACGCTACAAGATCACCGACATCATCGGCAAGGACGACGGATTGGGCGTAGAGAACTTGCGCTATGCCGGTCTGATTGCCGGTGAGACGTCGCAGGCCTACGAAGAGATTGTGACCATCGCCATGGTCACCTGCCGGACCATCGGCATTGGATCGTATGTGGTGCGTCTAGGCCAGCGCGTCATACAGATCGACAACTCGCACATTATACTCACGGGGTATGCTGCGCTTAACAAGGTAAGCAAATCAAACATTGATCTCAAGAAACATTTGTTTGGAAGCACTTAATTGTTTTGATATTATAATGGCCCACTTAATGTAAAAATAGCTTTCAATTAAATGATACACTGAGGTCTAAAAATAAACTTTCAGCGAATCTTTATACCCAAAGCAAAAAAAAAAAACAGAATATGTAATGAATTTATTTTATTTCCAGCTGCTTGGACGCAAAGTGTACGCCTCCAATAACCAACTGGGTGGCACCCAGATTATGTTCAACAACGGAGTCACCCACAAGACTGAGGCCATCGATCTGGACGGTGTCTACACCATCCTCGACTGGCTCTCATACATCCCCGCCTATATCGGTTGCGACCTGCCAATTATTCTTCCCAGCGATCGTATCGACCGGCCCGTGGACTTCATGCCCACTAAGTCGCCCTACGATCCTCGCTGGATGCTCGGCGGACGTGTGAATCCCGTGAATGCCAATGACTGGGAGAACGGCTTCTTTGACCGTGACTCCTGGAGCGAAATAATGGCGCCGTGGGCCAAGACCGTGGTCACCGGACGCGCCCGTCTAGGCGGTGTTCCCGTGGGCGTAATTGCCGTTGAAACACGCACCGTGGAGGTGGAAATGCCCGCCGATCCCGCCAATCTCGACTCGGAGGCCAAGACCCTGCAGCAGGCTGGTCAGGTGTGGTACCCGGACTCCTCCTACAAAACGGCCCAGGCCATCAAGGACTTTGGGCGCGAGGAGCTGCCGCTGATCGTGTTCGCCAATTGGCGTGGCTTCTCCGGCGGCATGAAGGACATGTACGAGCAGATCGTCAAGTTCGGTGCATACATCGTCGACGGCCTGCGGGAATACAAGAAGCCGGTGCTTATCTACTTGCCGCCCAATGCCGAACTGCGAGGTGGAGCCTGGGCCGTGCTGGATTCCCTAATCAACCCGCGCTACATGGAAACATATGCCGATCCGGAAGCACGAGGTGGAGTGCTCGAGCCGGAAGGCATTGTGGAGATTAAGTACAAAGAGAAGGACCTGGTCAAGACGATACATCGCCTGGATCCCACCACGATCGGGGTAGGTTCTAAAGGGGAATGGGAATCTGGCAATATTTCTGATTAATTTATTTTGTGCTTCAAAATACAGCTTAAAAAGGAGTTCGATGATGCAAATGCTTCTGGCGATAAGGTCAAGGCTGCCCAGGTGGACGAGAAGATCAAGGCACGCATCGCCGTCCTTATGCACGTCTATCACACGGTAGCAGTTCACTTTGCCGACTTGCACGACACACCTGAGCGGATGCTGGAGAAGGAGTGTATTAGCGAGATAGTTCCATGGCGCGATTCACGTCGCTGGCTCTTCTGGCGTCTGCGTCGCCTCCTGCTGGAGGATGCATACATCAAGAAGATTCTTCGCGCCCAGGACAACCTCTCCGTGGGCCAGGCCAAGCAGATGCTGCGACGGTGGCTGGTTGAGGAAAAAGGAGCCACAGAGGTGAGACATTTAGACTAACCACTTAAGCCGATCCTTAAATACATACGTCTTGTTACCAGGCTTATTTGTGGGACAAGAACGAGGAGATGGTGTCTTGGTATGAGGAGCAGAGCAACGCCGAATCCATTGTTTCCCGAAACGTGAATTCCGTGAGACGGGATGCCATTATTTCCACCATTTCGAAAATGCTCGAGGTGAGTTCAACCCTATAAGCTTTCAAATCCTAAAATGACTTTCGAATTTTATTTGATTCGCAGGACTGCCCCGACGTGGCGCTGGACGCAGTGGTGGGTCTCTGTCAAGGTCTGACGCCCGTAAATCGGGGCGTAGTCGTACGCACACTGGCTCAGATGCAGCTGAACGAGGAGACCTCGAACAGTAACCAGGGATGATTATACGCTAGGTTCTAAGTTCTTTTTAGGCCCCCGCTCCCATTTCATCCCTTCCCTTTCCCGCCTTTCACCACATTTCTCAGCCCTGTTTTGCGCTTGTAAAATACCGCAGAGCCTTGCATGATGTGCATTTTGTTTAGTTGAATTTGTTTAAACGTAATTAGCCTAAATCTAGTTATGTATTGGAGTTGTAATCATGGGTATATTGTTGCCTCAGTGGCCCCCGATAAACTAGTTCTATCGTGTACATATTATATTATGTATATCCCTTGAATAGAAATCATTCCATTAGTTGTCTAAGAACTAAAGTCCTTTGTACACAGAGCTTTTTGAATTATACGAGTTACTGAAAATATATATATATGGTACAATACATTTTTTAAAAATCGCTGGATGGCAAGTTGTTTTTCGTTTTGTTTTCTTTTGGTTCCACAGGATCGATAATGTACATAATTTCATTTATTTTTATAAATTAAAAATGAAATCTATCGCAGACGCGGTTAGTATCCGATTTGCTGCGCTCTTATTTGCCGACTTCGCTCATGAAGATGAAGGTTAGTGAGGGGGAGATGGGTTGGTGAGAGCCGGGTTCAGTTCAGGTTATCTAGCCAATCTGGCTCGGCGACACTTATCTTCTCTATAATGGAATTCACTTGATAGCACAGCGACTGGATCTGTCTATCCCACTGCGGCAGTAGTTCGCGGTTCTCGAAGTGCACAATGCCGGAGATCTGGTCGATGTGTCCGTTCATGCGGCCCTCTGTGATCATCTGGGAGGCGATCTTCTCCGCCTTCACCGCGGGTATGTCCAGTAGAGCTCCCAGCTCCTCGAAAGTTATGTTATTGTACAGCTTGCTAGCCGACAGCAGATTGTGCTCGAAAACAGCCCGATCCAGGATCGAGCTGCCATCGGGTGTGGCAGCCTTTTGGTGGTCCTGCAGCAAGGCCTCGAACTCCTGCAGCTCGGAGCGCCGGATGATGCGCTCCAAGTACATCTTCTCCAGAATCCCATAAGCCGGCAGGTGCTGGCAGCGTTCGTCCTTGAACAGAGTGGCCAGCATCCGGGACCGCTGTTGCCCGGCGGAGGCGAGGACTGTGCAGATGAGCGCCTTCTTGAGCGCCGTCATCCGCTCGCCCTGGTCCACAATCTTGCGGTAGGAGAGCTCGTTGTATCGCTGGGCAGCCTCAATAAACTTGCGCCGGTAGTCCAGCACTCGGGCATAGCAGACTTTGTAGAGCACCTTAAGAGGGTGATTTTCAAAAGATTTTATCGAATAAGGGTTAACTATAAGATGCGATTTACCTGCAGCTCCTCGGAGTTAGTCTCGGCCTGCAACAGCGAGGCGCGATTGATAAACAGCTCAGCCTGCACAGAGTCGTTGTCTTCCAGATAGAGACGGGCAATCTTCAAGTAGGTGCCCAGCTTGCACTCCACGGAGTACTGCTTCTGGCCAGTCTCCAGAGGAATGCCCACTAGGACAGTGGCAGCATCGCGCCACTGCTGGTTGCGCTCGTAGATGTTGGCCAGGTGGAACCGTATTCCAGCCACTTGCTCCTCAAACGAGATGACGCGCGGATTGACTTTCTCCAGAGTGAAGTGGGAAAGCTGCTTGGACAGGTCGTCGGGCAGCTTGCTCAGCTCGCCGCCCACGTCGTTAAGGATCTGGCGCGAGATGACCAGGCTGACGTGCTCGTTCACAATCGCCTCTACGAAAAGCCGGAGGCCATCGATCAGCTCATGGCCGGTGTTTGCCAATACCGTCTTCAGCAGCTGACGGTACTTGTCCGCTTGGTCCTTGTGCGTGCCGGTAAAGTTGATCAGGCCCATTAGCTGGTTGCGCAGGATCGCCGTCGAGATTCCCTTGCCCGGATTTGCGTAGTTTGCGGCCATGTTCACTTGTATTCCCAATTACTTCGCACTAGCTAAGAACAACAACGCAAGCTCATCCCCGTTATCGATAACTTGCGAATCCGTCCGCGGTAGTGCTGAGCAGTTAACCCTTTTCAAGCTAAGTCTAAATAAATCTAAATTTAGTTAAGTGCCAATCTTTATTTACATGTACATTTCTGCTAACAATGTTGAATATTTAAAACAAAAAATTATAGTAAATTTTGTAAAACTTATATAAAAACTTTAATTAAATAAAATAATTGGTTGCATTAAGAATATTTAATGGATACAATTAGAATCGGACATGAATTAAATAATAAATAATATGTACATTTAATTCCTTTCGGATCGATTTCTATGAGCTTCTTTATCTTCTTAAAGCTAAATTGCCATATTTATTTAGCTACCAGAAATACAGCTTATTTTCGGGACATCTCTGATTCAGTAATGACAAATGCCGGATGCAAAGCTATCTGAATTGTGACACTGTGCAACACTTAGCTATTAACGATTATATGTAAACAGTGAAAAAAATATATTCAGGTCCAATTGGCCTGAAAAGCATACGAATCAGGAAAGGCAGTTCGCAAGTGCCAGATAATCCGGGCTTAATCGAGAATCTTGAGAAGTCGTCGAGTGTTAAAAGACACTGAACATTCTGCGTCCAAAAGGGTGGAGACTGGACAAAGCCCACACATACACACATTTATCGGGAGCAGCGCAGCTCGCTGAGTGAAGTGGAAAATGTATCCAAAGGAGTCCAATGGCCGTATTTGCGAGCAGATATGAACGGAAATTGCCAATTGACGACACCCAGGCGCTGAGCTGCGAGATAACCGCCGTCCAGGAGGTCGCCGGACATACGGTAGGTGGTAATTCTCAGGGGGGAGGAGCTTCTGACCCCAGCGAAAAATCAATAATTGTTGATGATTTCATACAATCGGCGAGTGAGTACATATGTGTGTATGTCTGCTTGCAGGAGTACCTGCTGCGCGTGTGGAGGGGCGCCAGCAACAAGGACTACTGGACCGTACTTCGCCGCTACAATGACTTCGACCGGCTGGACAAATCTCTTCGCGTCTCCGGCATCGATCTGCCGCTGCCTCGCAAGCGCATCTTTGGTAACATGCGCCCGGAGTTCGTAGCTGAACGGAAACAAGCCCTGCAAGTGTACATAAACGCCGTACTAATGAATCCCATACTGGCCTCCTCGTTGCCAGCCAAGCGCTTCGTAGATCCCGAGAGTTACTCGCAGTCCTTTCACGGTAGGTTAATTTTCCTAGGGAGGCTGAAAACACACATTAATCTGTTTAATCCTCCGCAGACCATGCCGTGCAGAATGCCATGCTCTGCTTGCGAAACGACACGACATGGTCGCTGGGCGGAAGCATGGGCGCCATAGGTTGGCGCCTGCGAAAGCACTACTTCAAGGTGACCACCAAGCCGCCGGAGAAGAGCCACAACAAGCAGCTGGTCAAGAGTGGCTCCCAGACGCATCAGAGCAAGCATTTCGCCGCCGGGAGCAGCAATGGCAGCGGTCACTCCATCGATGCGGGAACCCTGGATCCCGGAGCCGAAGTGGTGGCCGAGTGGCTCGAATACGGGCCGGACAAGTTCGTTGACGAGAAGGAAATCGGTGGCATAATGAAGAGCCTGATGGGCCTGCAGCACCCGCACATCGAGCCTGTGCTCCTGGCCGCTCACACAGAAAACGGTTGCCTCGTCATCAGGAAGTAAGTATCTAAAACTCTATTTCAAAAATATAAATAAATTTGTGGCCCATTCCCGACATAGGTTTCATAAGCACGGTACCCTAAAGGATGTTTTGTGCATGGCTGCGAATCCAAAGAATCCCTTTCTCAGCAAGTACGGAAATCCGAAGGGGCGCACTGCCCTCTCAATGAAACAAGTGGCCACATACGGCAAGCAAATCCTAGAGGCACTCATATTTTTGCATTCCAAGGGCTATGCATATGGCAAGTTAAACCTGGTTTTTCCGAAAAAAAAAAAAAAACAATCTAAATTTGTTGGCAATCTCGGCAGGTCACTTACACTCCGGAAACATTGTAATAGTGGACGATTGTGTTAAGCTGCTGGACATCGAAAACTTTTTGCTGGGCGTACCCGCCTTCTACCGGCCATTTTTTATGCAACATAGCAAGATTCATGCCATAGAAACTATTGATGTTTACTGTTTTGGCCATATTCTCTTTGAAATGGCCATGGGTTATCCTCTGCAGGAATCTGTTGTTCGCCAAATTACTGAATGTCCAGAGGCGTTAAGTGGGTTCTTGGAAATTACCAAGCTTTCGGTTTGCTTCTATAATCCATTTACCTTTGCAGAATGCCTGTTGGAAAGCATTCTCTCCAAGGAAGCTTGCAAAGCCGGCCTACCGACGCTGGAGCAACTGCTTGGTCACAGGTTCTTCACGCAGTATGCTTCAACTGAGGGAGGAGGCGCCGCTGCCAACGCAGAGAAGCCGTATTTCAAACTATCCCTAAACGCCAAGGAGCTGCTTAAGCAGGCAGCAATCAAGAGCGAGAATCGACTACGAGACGAACAGAAGTCGGTGAAGAACCAGAAGCGTATTGTGCGCGTCCAGGAACTGATGAGCTCCGAGGAGGAGAAACGCAAGTCTAAGCAAAAAGCAGTTAGTTGCCCAAACCCCAAGCATTTCACGTAGTTCAATCTCACACAGCCACTTAACGAACACTTTTTGGTTTTTCTTTTCGTTTATTTGAATCGATGCTTACGTCTAGAAACTAGAGCACAAACAGTCGAAGCTAAAGCAGCAAGGTTCAATCCAAACGAACAATGGACGCTTGTCGCTTGTGGCTGCGACTGCAGCAGCAGCTTCCTCCAGCACCGCGGTGGTTGGTGGGTTATGTGGGGCCGACTCCTTCAACCGCTCCGACAGCACACCCGAGGAGCCCACAATGGCCGGCATCAAATGTAGTTATCTAACAACCGTTCACGGCTTCCAATCAGTAGTTTGTTAGCTTGTTCCCTTCGACTCACCCGACTCACATGCGATTCCGTTTTTCTTTTAGCCCCACCGCTCACTCCGGCGCCGCACTTGGGCGGCATATATCAGCAGGAATTGCCGGCGTCGCCCGGCGCACCGGTGGAACGGCAGTCGTCCACACCGAATATGCTGGCCGAGGATACGGAGGGCGCCGAAGGCGACGAGCTGACCCGATCCGCTCTGCTTGAGTCCATCTGCAAGTTCAATCGCGGTTCACTGCGCAAAGTGCGCTCCAACGACTAGCTGCGGTATTAAAAGATGATTTATAAACATAACAATTTTTGGACCAAATGTGGCGTTATGAAATAACGGTGCCATCAAAAAATAACTCGAAACTAATCGAATTCCAAAAGCTACATTTTTAGAGGCATATTGAAAAACAAACAGCAGATCGAAGACACCGCTGAGCATAGCATATAACACAAAACAATCCAGCAATTACTATATGTACTAACGAAACCCACTGATTATAATTATTGCATCTTATACGTGTCCACTATACACTGCATACGATTTATCGGCTAACAGAAATGTGTCTATTTATGTAAACAAGTTACAAGTCACACATTTGCGAGCATACTCCCGGATCGCAACTAAAGCTTTACCTATGTGTCCACTACACGACTGAAACTAACTTTGGTACGAATATCTAAATGAGGAAACAAAAATCTAAAACAAGCAAGAAAAGACAAACGGAGAAATTTAGTACTTTCCAATATTTACATAAGTCTGCACCAAAATTTGCACGAGACGGATACGCTATTCTTTTATAAGGCCACTGGCCAATATAGTACATGGATGTTAGATGTCTAAGAAATTGTTCCTCGGTGTTGTGTTATCTCCACCAACGCGTTTTTATCGCCAATTTTTAGTAGTTGTACTGCAGGTTTTGTAACCGAATTTAAGTTTTTATATTTCGAAGAGCCACGAATGTTTTAAAAACACTCAACTGTTCGTTAAAGTCTACATCTACACATACTCGGAGTCCTGGACTCAAAATAGTTGAAGCAACAGACAAAGACAAGGAAATGTGGCCAAGAATTCGCACTGTTATTGTTTTCTTTTTTATAGACAATTTATTAGGTGTGTATTTAACCGAATCCGAATTATGTATCGAGTATATTTGTATTTGAATATGTGTATATATATGTAATTGATGTTTTATGGCCACAAGAGCACTCAAAAATAACGTAAATATCGTAAATTTGTATGTGTATTATCGTCTACTGACTGTGGGTATATGTTTATTATACTTTAAACCAGAGACCGAACCAAAATGATAACACAAAACGCGAAACATATTCCCCTCACATATTGCAAACCAAATAAAGTGTAAACTAATTGTCGTTGTAACCCCGTCTTCGATTTACTGTCAATCTAAGAGGGCTCTGGGCCTTATTTTCCTGTGTTTTTTAATGTTATATTTCGGTTTGAGTCTGGGAGTTCACGAAAAACTTGTAGTTAAACACTGTGATCATGGGTGACTCACCGGAAGAGCGGCGAAGCAAGGAAGTCGCACCCGAGGCTCCCGCCAAGGAGGCGGAAACGGGGAAGGGAAAAAAGGAGAAGAAGGAAAAGTCGGCCGAGGGCAACCAAAAGCCGGTAAGTTTGGCTGACAAGTGGCGCATAATTTGGTTCGTATTGATTCAACAAACGCCACGAATTGCCACGGCGACAGGCCGTCAAGCAATCGGGCAGGGAATGGCTTAATGGCATAATCATTTGTGGTTTTATGGCTAACCGCGACGCACTCGACCCGACTCGATTCCATTAGTACCAGAAAAATGGCAGCCGCTGCAGCAAAGAACTGGTCGGGTCTGGTGAATCTTTGCTTGGGGCAGGAGCGTGAAAAGGTATACGATTGATTTTGTCATTATGGTTCCAATAGGTATTTGATGTCTTTTTAATGAATTGATGCTTGTAACGGAAAGTGAACACGAGAATGTATGGTTTGTCTGAAATTTTGCCAAGTCACGCGAATCTCGTGGTGATTCTATGGGCGGGGGGCGTTTATATGTAGTGTGCCTGCGGCAGAACTAACATGCATGTTCGGTTTCCCATTTCATCACCATGCAGAGGCCAGCGAGCAGCCAGCGCGGATCGCTGACCAAGTCGCACATTGGCGTTCCCTTGGGCATGGGGGCTCCGGCGGCCAAGGTGAGTCTGTTAAATGTCCACCCCAACTCCCATTTGTATCTTAAGATCCGCATGATTCGCAGCCCACCATGCGGTTCATGCCCACCTATCGACTGGAGTCGAAGAATCCGCTCAACAAGGAGCGCGTGGAGAACATTATCAAGGCGGTGATGAATCGGCACTACAACGATGAGTACATGTTCCATCCCAAGCACTCTCTGCACATGGCGGCTCAGGTCAGCGAGGAGATCAAGAACCGGATTAAGCTCGATAACTACGACAGGTGAGTTGTGTTGGTAGCAGTTTAATATTTTACTGACCACTTTCTACCAGATATCGCTACATAGTGCTGGTCACTGTGGGTGAGTTCCTGATGCAGGGCCTCTACTCCATGGTCAACTTCCTGTGGGATGCTGAAAAAGACGGATTTGTGACCTACAGCGTGGAGAGACCGTCGTACTTTGCGGTCTGCACCACCTTTTACCTGTACTACGATTGAAATCGGTATTCGGGGGACTGGGCGCCTTCGAGTTGTTATTAAAATTGAAGTTAATGTTACATATTTTTTACCTTCCTCTGTTGGTCACCAGATTGATTCACTTTGTTCGGCACTTGGTTGCACTGTAACTCACATTTTTCGACACCAGATTCTTGAACACATTGGGATTCGATAGATGACGTTTATTTAAATAGCAGTATAATAGTTTTTATAATATTTGTTGAAGCATAAATTACTCGAACACCTGTCTAATGATGTCAATTAACTGCGTTTGATCGTTATAACTATCTCTGAGTGTACAGATTTACGATTGGTATATATATAATATATTTGAGAACACACGCATACACAGCACATGAACTGGGCCAACTACTTGGATTATTATCATAGTTGATGTTTCGTCCGTGGAATGACACTTAAACTCACAGAAACATGTAAATGTCGCATGAACGCATGTATAAATTATAAACAAAACACCATTCTGTTGAGGAGCAGCCACAAGAAAACCAATGTAACAATTGCCAAACCCAATCAAACAGCAGAGACATTTTGGAGCAAATGCTACACGACGTTCTCTCTTCGGATGGAAGACGGATATACAAATCGGGGTTCGGAACACTAGATTTGGATTTGGTAGCCACTTTCACGCACCCACAGGCCAAAAAACACCAAGAAACCTCTGGGAGATCGAGGGAGAACTAGAGCTTAGCCAGAATTAAACACTTTCGCACTGATTGCTGTTTTTACGGCGGAATCGCACTGCAAACAAACTCTGCAAACACTTCGTAATCTTTGTTTTGGAATCATCAACTGGACAATCAGACCACTACTGGGTGCACTTTTTGTCGCACTGTATTTTTATCAACATAGTTCACAAACCAAAGACCAAATGCAAAATCATCAGCGCAACACAAATCAAAATAGGAAATTAATTTTAAGGAACACAAAAACTGTTATCGAGATTATTTTGCACTAGTTATTGATCAAAGCGGACACTCAAATCTAGTTTTTTTTTTTTTTTTTTTTAAATTTAAGGTGTTTTACTTGTGTTGTTTTCATTCTCAGTTGTACACTTTAACATAATAAAATTTGAAAAACTGTATGGATGCGTTTGTATACAATATGGTTTGATTGGTTTCAACCTTTTTAGCACAATAATAAAAATATGTATAAACTTCACTGTCACTAACACATCGAGAACTTGAAATGAAACCATAAAGAGAGATCCTGTCTGCAAAAGAAAGTTAATTAATGGTTAATTAATACGGGTCAGGGGTCATGAGGTGTGGATGATGTCTCCTGGGTTCTGCTCATGTCTCTGTGTTTGTGCATCATGTGTGTGTGTGCGGTGCTTGAAGGATGCACATACACGTCCCTTGCATGTATGTGACCCCAGTTCGTACTCCTCCTCCTTTCGAGAGGGGCATCTAATATACGTCTACGGCTGCTACTTTCTAGTTAGGTGCGGCGGAGTCTTCCTTTCAGCACTGTGGCTAGTCATTACCTCCAGTTTGTCCAGCACTTGCTTCTCCTCCCCCTCCAACACCACTCCCCCTTAGGCCGTTCCGCCGCGAACCACCACAATGACCAGGTGGTCCTCTTTCAGGCCCTCCTCCGTGAGGCTGTGGCAGGTGCGCTTCAGCAGCTCCGTGGAGAAGTCGCAGGGCGGAAAGGCGTACAGCACGCCGGTGGCCTCCGTCTCCTTGTTCAGCAACGAGATAACGCCGGCAGCCTCTTTCTGCTTTAGATAGGAGACCAGGTTCCTCAGCGGACGCGTCTGAACGCTGGCATCGTCGCAATTGGTTTCATTCGTTGAACCCGCCAGGCCCATGAAGATAGCATGCGAAGATGAGGATGCAATCCGCTTCTGCACATCGTCCAGCTTCGGCGGATCCAAGCGCAGGCGCTGAGTAATGCGTAGGTTGTGCTTGCCTTCCTCATCGCGCATTAGCGACTCTACAATATCTGTGTCTCCGTCTGTTAGATGGAACTTGGCTGGGAACAGGGAGCTCTTAAGGATTAGCGCTCCAGTCCACACGGTGCTGCACTTGCGCGCAACATCCGGCACCGTACTTGCCGATCCAAGGGCGTCGTTGCGACGAGTCGAGGTGTCGGAATCAGATCCGGGAGACCGAGCCCGCTTTAAAGGCGATCTCGAGCGAGAGCGTTCCACGCCAGGCTCCCGAGAGCTGGAGCGGGCTCCCCTGTCGTATGATTCTCCTGGTGGGCGCCGCCACTCGTCGTCCACTCCTCCGGGCGGCGGAACCGACGAAGAAGAACCGGCCAAGGAGCCAGGATGCGGCGGCCTGTGAACATCGTTGTGGTAGTGGTACATTCCTCGTCCCCTTCCGCGATAGCCACCACGTCCTCGGTAGCCACCTCTAGGCGGATACGGGGAGTAGCCACCTCGCGGTGCATACGCTGCAGACTCCTCATAGTAGGGATCATACTCCGGGCGCCGGTACTCTAGCGCACTTTCGTCATACGGCGGCTTGGATCCCTTGAACGGCGCGGCCGGCGTGGCCCCCGGCAACTCTGCAAAGTCCGTGCGAAGTCGGCGCTCAGGCCCACCCAACGGAAATCCTCGCATCTCTTTTACAGCTGCTGTGGCCGCCTCCACTGTCTCGTATTCAATGTATGCGTACGGCTCGCCCTTCTGGTAGTCGATCTTCTTGATGGCCCCAAAGCGATCGAACTCTCGCTCTAGCTGAGTGACCGAGGTCCATGCCCCCAAACCTCCGATCCACATTCGTGTGGCCGGAGTCACCTTGCCGTATCCAATCTTGCACTGGAACTTGCCTATGTACTGGCCGGACAGCTCAATCTTGGCCCGATGGGCCATGTCCAGATTCTGGTAGCGCACAAACGCGAAAGCGTTACCCGTGCCCGGCGGTGGTCGCTTGATGTCGATATCATCCACCACACCATACTTTCCGAAGATGCGACGCAACTCGTCGTCGGCGATTGTCACCTCTAGATTTCCCGCGAACAGTGTGCGCGTAGAGAGGGGATCGTCCTCGGGCTGCACGTGGTGCAGGTAGTTAGGGAACTTGTCCTTCTTGCTCTCCGGCTTTTCATAGGGAGCGTGTGGGCGAGGTGCTAATGGCCTCATTGGAGAGTACTGATGTGGAGGCGCATGGCCATGGAGGTGATGTGGGTGGCCGCCGCGATGTAGAGGAGGTCCGCGTGGCGGATGAGGATAATCGTGGTGCATTGGTCGATAGTCGCGTGGATGCACTGCGTGCGGGTGCATATGGGGCGGACCGTAGCGGTCATAGGGATCAAGCGGGGGACGGCGGTGATCCAGAGGAACCCCCTGGCCCATAGGAGAGCGCGAGTAGTGGTAGCGCTCGTAGTCTGGCGGGGACATTGAGTGCCCGCGCGGTCTGGAAAGTAGGAGTACCTTGTTAGGCAACATAAAAAACGGAAATTGTTAAAGAAAATCCCACCTATACTCTGGCCTGGTGGTGCTCTTGTAAACCGGCTCTACAATAGCCATCTTGTCGTAGATGATCAGGCGCGGCTTGTGGTGCTTGGCCTCGCGCGCGTCCTCCGGCGTTCGGAAGCAGACGTAGGCTACCCTCTCGTCCAGGTCGTGGGCCAAACGCACACTAAAGTCGCCAAACTTCTTATACTCGCGGTAGAGCGTCTCCTCGATAAAATCGTCGGGAGCCTTCGGTGGCAAAGCGCTTACGCACAGGACCTTATAGCCAGCAGGACGCTCCGCTGGTGGAGGGCCGCGCATGTACGGCTCCCGGTGCGGGGATCCGTAGCGGCCACGTGGACTCGGCGAGCGCTCCAAGCGCCGCCGCATGCGCTCTGGCGACAGGCGCTCGGGAGAGTCGCCCGGCACACCGCTGCCGTTGTCGTAGCCTCGACCCATGCTCCGCGAGTTCCGCGACAAACTGCTCCTAGAGGCCGGACCCGGGGAGCGCGAGGCGCTGCGCTTCATGTTGTGGATTTTGATTGTGATTCGATCGGCTCCGGCTCCGTCTCGATGACTACTCATGGGCGGCTCTTCCGGTACGCTTTTCCTGTGTGCTGGTGCTGCCTGGGAACCTTCTGGCAATTCGGGTTTGGGATTCTGCAACGTATTCAAGATTGGCCTTGTGAAAGTACGGGTGAAAAGCAAGCGGACAAGCGGCGACCAAGTGAAAAGAAAATGGCGGCACCCCGACCACAAAGGAAATATCTCTTTGCAGCGGAACATGGCCCTAAACTAGGCCAATTTAAATGGTATTATTTGCGCTTACCTTGTTTGCCTTTTTCTGAAATTAACTTTATTAGCACTTTTGCTAATAAATCGCGAATAATCCTGGGATTTTTCAGTTTTCTGCGGCGTTGCAAATTCTGTATGCGTCGAAAGTGGAAACGCGGCTATCGATAACGAGTCCACGTAATCGTCAGAGATGGCAGCGGGTATGTTATCGAGCCATATCTAGCCATTTTCAATTCGTTAAGCCTAGTACGAAAACTGTTCGTCAGTCATGACAGAGAGCGAGAGGCAAACAGCTGGCGTACACATTTCGTCTGCCTTTTTTCACCTCGGTACTCAGATCGACGAAAAAAATACAACAAAATTACATCGCGTTGCCAACCACCTGAAATTAACTTTTGGTGAATCCCGCTAAAGTCGATTGCAGGAGTTTACATGTGAGGGTAAAATAACATTAATAATATCTGGGGTGCCTCTTGTCAGAGAAAAATTTTTCTTGAGTCAAAAATGTACGAAAAATCACAATAAAAGTGCAGTTATGAACTTTAAATTAGCAAATAATTATCAGTAAGTTAAAATAAACAACGTTTAAACTTAAATTGTATTGTTTTTTAATTTCTTTGTACAGCGGCAGACTTGTTATGCCAAGGTAGTTAATAAAATATTTTAAAGGCTCTTTCCCGCAAATAGGATATTTGAATTTTTACTGATTGTCAACAAACCGAGCTGATTGACAGTGCGACCGTAGCACGCTTAATTCTGATGAACTTTCCACATTTTTGTCACACTGGAAAGATTAAAGTTTTTACGCTAGCGTACTCGTTTGTCGATCTGAGTACTAGG